GCCAGGGAAATTAGCGCAAATTGATGCCTGGTGCCAGGGTTTGTGCAAAACCTGTCCTTGCCCTCTGACGATACCGGGACCAAATCTTACCTTATTCCATTTACTGACTAAACCTGTGTAAAAAAAATCACATAAGCCCTTCTGCAAAACCGCTCTGAACTCGTGACTCCATTAGCAATCGTGTTTACACAATTGCCGGTTTTATTTGATTACAAATTAGTAACAAATTAGAGTCGAAATAAAATATTTTTTTTATTTTCACAAGGACGTCAGACCGTAAAACATTTTACAACGGAAAAAAACATTGCACCGTTATTATCAATACTCTGAGATCTTCACTCTGCTAAAGAAATGTATAAATTATTTAAAAAAATTAATGTTTGGCACGAAGACAAAATATATGTGCGGAAATAAAGAAATAAATCCAAATTTGCTGCACCGTAAAGCACAATGCAGTCAATATCTGTTGGAGGCAATGACGACAGGTGACGTTTTACTGCTGTGAGACCAACTCCGTGCAGATAAACACGCACGTAGCAGCAGACTTTTGAGACTTTCGAGGTCAAATTTTTCAACGAAACTTTTTTCTAAGAAATGTTCTGACGCAATGCACTCAATGACATTGCAACATTTGTGATTTACCTCACAAACTCATGAAGGCATATTGATGTCCGAACAAATAAAAAATAACAACGCTTTCATGTGTTGCTCGCGATCAATGCTTTGCCAGTGTCTCCTACTTCGAGAACCAACGATGAATGCGAACTAGGAGAGGCTTTGTGTGCCAAATCCAACCGGACATCCGCGATCAACAGCTTTCCGAGTGAAGCAGCACAGAATTCAAACACATAGCGCTTTGGTGTCCCACGTGGCAGCTTGAAACACCTGAACCGAACTGTCATGCCTTCCAGTATGCTGGCGATAATTGGGTATTTTGCAAAGAAAGGCTGCACATCTTGCACCTGTAGACGTTGCGTTAATTTGACGTGCGCGATCGTTAACATTCAAAACCACAGCTCCTTATCAGTTCATCTCACCCATGGATAGTTTGCCTAATTATTATTGTTTGGATGAAGTGTTTGCTCTTTTAGGATGCCATAACAATTCAAATGGCATATTTTTTTTTTTAAAAAGGCTAATTATGTGTGCAGTGGTACGCTATGCAGTGCGATAGCACTAAAGTTTAGAATGTTAATTTGTAAGCCTTTATTGCAATTCCCAAAAAAAACTTATCTACACAATAGAATTGGCAAACAGGATTAGTGCCCCGAGTAGCACCAGAGCAGTGTATCAGAAGACAAATGAATGCCGACACTTATAAGTAACTCATGTGATAAGCCATTGATTATTTAGTCCCCCAATAATAACAAGTTGCCTATTCAGCAGACCTTTAAGTGTCGGGGAAACAGTTGCAAGTGTAGCCAAGGTGTGAGCTCACCCGTAATAAATCGCGCGTATATGATTTTTGCATAGCTACGGGTAACCAGGTACGGGTAACCAGGTACGGGTAACCAGGTACGTCTTTTTATATTCTTGGTTCTTTCGGTAAAGTCACGTTGAAGGGAAACAATAAAATAATAAAATACATATTATATATGTTTCCCTTCAACGTGAATAAAATATATACTTTATTATTTTATTGTTTCCCTTCAACGTGACTTTACCGAAAGAACCAAGAATATGAATCACTGCAGTCACGAAAGCTTTAAATCAAAATGTAGGTACGTCTTTGTTACTGTTATAAGTGAATGCGACGGTGATAAGGGATTTGACCAATAGCCCCACGTGCACGGTAGAGTACGAGGCACACTCACCAAATTTATATTTGGGCGGACTTGGTGCCTGGTAAGCGACACGTTGCATTAGCTGCAATAATATATAACTGTTCAACTGATATTACTTGAGTGTCAATCGACTGACAGGAACACGGTCATGTTAATCGACTGTTGATTGAGTTGTTGGTGGTAATGATGATATGCACAATTAAGACATTGATATTAAAGTAGATTTCTATATATAAAATACGTATAATTGAGTGGAGAATATTAACACTGGCACTCAATCCCATTGATAGAGAAATTGAGCTGCGGTGTTGTGAAGTACTGGGTGTTTCTGATCACTATTGCAGGTACGAGATGCATACATGTCAACCCATACAGTTTACTCCGTATTCGTGTACAGAGAAATTTAGTTTTCAGGTCCATACGACGGACAGCCGTTTCAATGCGGGCAACAATGTTTTTGTCTCTTTGTTTGTGTTTTCTCTCCCTTGTTATGGAACTTTGTAGGATGAACGTTGATATTTGACTTGGTCTGTATTTAGGTAGGCAGTGATAAGGGGTTGACAGGTATGGAGATGTTCACTTATTTCCATTTGCATTTTTTGCTGTTTTTGCACGGGGCAATTGAATAATAAGATGACTTCGCGGCTCGTGGTGAGTTTTCATATTATTATTACGAGTGTTAATTACTTACTCTTTGGTTCTTTCAGTAAAGTCAGGTAGGTAGAAAAATAATAGATCATGAATAATAATCATATTATCATTAATAATAAATCATTAATAATAATAGAGCATTAATGCCTCATCCACAGCAGTCTGATTCTCTCACCTGAAGACGGTCGCTTGTTGTTGCGATCGAAACGTCGTGATCTATTATTATTTTTATACCCACGTGACTTTACCAAAAGAACCAAAGAGTATGGATTCCTGCTGTCAGGAAAGCTTCAAATCAAGATTGTTAATTACTGGTTTCTTTTGTTTTATCAATCCAACTCGAATCAATAAATATAACAGACTTGGAAGATGATGAAAGTGTTTTGGTGATCAAAACGTTAGAAGCAGGTTTTTTTTTTGTAAAAGTGTACAACATTTGGTATTGTGTTGCGGTGCACTATTCATTGGGAAGGCACAAGTTGGCAGACTTAGAGCTGAATTGTAACATTGAGCTACTGGGGTGTTTTGTCAAAGATTACATTCCTGATTTGGGTATAAGGAAGAATTTTTTTTATATGTTCATTATCAGTAAAATATGATGTATCGTGTTAATATAATTGTTTATAAAAACGTATTATTAAAAGTACGTATTGTTTTGTTTAAGCAGTATTATCAGGCGCTGTAGGAGGTGCTACAGATGTTTCGGGCAGATGCCTGACGTTAGCTATGAAACATGTTTCTGGTTAAATGTTTGTTAAATAAAATGTTTAAATGTTCGACCTGATAAGCGGCTGTTATCATAATTGAGATTTTGGGCGGACAATAGCGATCAGAGATACCCTCCTGTGACATGGAGGGTATCTCTAATCGCTATTGCAGATACGCAATGCCCTCCTGAAGACGACTCCCTGATGCTCAGCTGTTGACGAGTGAACCCACCTCTCGGCAGGACAGGACACAACGCTCAGTCACCGCTCATCGTCTCCGAACTTTATTTTTTAAATTGTTATTGTTGTTGCCTATTTGGCCGGCGTGTCACCCCCTGCACAAGGATTCGCGACGGGATGGAGAGGGCAACAGTGGCGGACCGGCTACGCGAGCAAACTTTAATTGTGGTTCCAATGTAGTTACGTCTTTGTAAATTAACGTAACGTACTGTGTATTCTAAATAATTGTGTGTACCTCGGAAGGTTAGTACACAGAGTATGGAAAATAGCATCATTATTTAAATAAAAATGTTAAGATTGGCGTTTAGAAATGCCACAATAAAATCAACTACGCAATCGTGCGGGGTATATGTGTGAACGCGTGTGTGAGTCCGTGCTGTGCGTGCGTGCGCTTGGGCGTTCATTGCGAGTGGCCGCACACGGCCAACACCGGCGACGTGAATCTGAACCGGTTCTGGGCCTCCCCGAAAGTGGAACTCAGCCACAAATGAGTGCCCGGGTGGCGCCGTGCGTCGTGTAAACATCGCCACTGGCAAGAGACGAAGGCGGCCGGGTTGTGATTTTCTGCTTAACAGCACTTGCGCGCCCAACACACGCAGTCCTGTTGCAAGGCTATACGAGTTGGCCCCCACTCCCCTATGCAAACAGCCGGGTGCAGTTGGCAATGTTTGCGAATTTAAGAGGTCCTTTGGCTGTTGGTAGCTTCCGTGTTAGAATAAGGGAGGGGAAGTTGCTTGGCAACCGTAAAGCTTCGGCTGAGAAAAAGAAGAAAAAAACCCCGTACAACCCTCGGAGACTTAGCTGGAGAAATGTAATAGAGTAACATCGTTATTAAGTGCTGAAAATGGCTTCGGGCGTGGATTTACCAACTTTGAAAAGTGTCCTTAAGCACTTGCGCGACCTCGGTATGTGACATGCTACTTAAGACCCCCATCGCTCACAAACCCATTATTATTATTACAATGTGGCTTAAGCGTGTACTAAATACGCTGCACGCTTACTCACAGCTCCAAGGAATCTTGTGCAGTAATGTGGATCCAGTAATTTCATCTATGGCTGGAATAAGCCCGCTAGGCAACGGAGCTCTTTTTGCCAGTTATAATTTATTTCGTTGCTGTGTGTTTGTATAAAATGTTTGCGAGCCATGCCTGGCTAGCACCGTGTGCGCATCACCGCGAAGTAGCCCACGGCAAAAGTGTTCTATTTTTTTAATTTTGCCCCGACAGAGTGAACACTTGGTAATGTGACAGCACGTGGTGCTCGGTTAGCTAGCTGCTCTTAGGTTTTTTTGGTAAGTTAATTAAAACGTTAATTCTGTGACTGAGCACAATGTTCATGTGTGTAATACTTATTGAATACGTTCAAATGTCGTTGGGTGTATGTGTGTCATTACGTGTTTGCTGTGTGTGCCACGTAACACGAATCTCACTCTTTCCATCTCAAGGTATCGTGGAGGTGAATTATTTTAATAAATACGATGGTGTGTTTATATAATTGCTGTATTAATGACTCATAGCAGAACATGTATGGTTGCATTTTTGTTTCAATCACGGTGCCGGTTTGTACTTTTCTAAGCACGTTGTATTCCACCCATCGTTTTGTTTTTGTCTCGTCTCAGCACATCATCTTCATCTCAAGAAGGAAGAGCATGGATTTCAGGAAGAGGAAATTAGTCACTTTGAAGAAATTGCCATAGCCATGGAAGAACTTGTAAGGATGAAAAAATGATTTTCCTGATATGAAACATAAATATGTACAGTATATATCCCGCATTCGTTCATTCTAAACAACATTCCATTAAAATGCCGTAAGTCAAATGGAATGAATCATTACACCCACACACTGTAGCCGAGGAGACAAAGCAGCTGAAATAATTGCAATATTAAGAACAAGATTTTTTTTTCTAAATTGCTGCTTCCGATGAAGGTCAGAAAGGATTTTCTTTGCATATAAATGCTACCTCTACAATGTGACACGTTGGCAAAAAAAAATTATATAGGAATGCAAACCTGTGATTTAGTGTACCTATTTTTACTCTCAGTTCTATGCTACGCATAAAAGACCATATTCAACTGTGATTTTTCAATCTACCACACTAGAAAACTGTCCAAATGTATATTACAACAATGCTTTCATAATGGTTATAGTTTTAGTTTGTTCTTGCCCTAGCAAAGATATTTTTAATGTTGGATTTCATGTATCTGATATGGATCATCATAAATTCCATGGACACTGGGTTTGTCAGTCTTGCTTCGGTTACCTTCAGATGGCATTAATCTACAGCACTAAAACTTCCTGAATGATGCCATTTATTCCCAATTCAGAGCCAATAACAATGTTCAGGAAAAGGAAGATGAAATTCCATTTAGAGAAACAATTGTAGGCGCAGATTGACACTTTAGAAGGGTAGAGGTACAATGTTCTTATGCTCGACAGTGCATGGCACTCTGTCATTACACAGCAACTATTAGCAGACGGGAATACATAGCATTCACTTTGAACTTTAAAATGTTTGTCACTCATAAGCCATGGCAGTAGGTCGACAGTTTAGCTCATAACGGTTTTAAGTACAACATATGGACACGGTGATGACACCGCAAAATTACGGTGGGTGAGCATGGGAGGTTTGGAGGCCAACAAAATAGCAGGGACTACACCATGAGACCACATATGGGTCACAGAGCCTATAATGATGGTCATGTCTTCTCCTTCTGTCACCCCAACTGCTGTTGTCACTACCTTCGTGTGGATGGGGGGTGCCTCTGTGACAATATTGCATAGGGCTGGCCGGAAGAGCATTCTGTAAAATAACTTGCTTCCACGCTCTGCAAGATCACAAACAACGTTGTGACTGCATTTAAACAAGCCTCTCTTCCCATTGCTTTATTTAGTTTGAACAATTTATACACATTTTATAGTCCCCATGTAAAAAAATGCTTTATGTGTATGTCGATCACGAGGTGTAATGGATAGTTGAATAGAATATCCACCCCAATGGTTTTGATCTTGCGGGTTTTTTTGTGCATTACTGCAGGATGCAAAAAGAAGACAAGCTCATGATCGATTGGAAGTGGAAACCATAAAAGCGAGCCTGCTCAGGCAAAAGCTCCACACCCTTCCAAATGAAATCAGCCGGGAAACAGCCGGTGCGTAGTGGCACGTAGCATGCCGCGCGTGTTAAGGAGTGCTCCGGACCTCGTGCGCTTGACCTTACGATCTGTGAGCTGTTAATGGATCTGAGGACAGTTAATGAATCATAAAGTTTATTGGAATGTGTGATATTGGTCACATAAAACACCACAGGTATGCAATACATTAGGTTTCTAATGACAAATTGATGTATGACCCTAAAGCTATCCCTCGAAAAAAACAAGCTTAATTCTGTTTTAAACAAAGCTAAAGGGACCTCTTCCACATTAAGCATATTCAGTCAAAAAAAGCTTTTTGTGTTTTCATGATTCGATTAATTTCAAGTAATGTAATTTAAAAATGTAAATAAGTAATTCTTGAGTACATCGTTAATGTGTTTTGCAATTGTCACAGAATGAAGTAATTCATATTTAAGAAATACTTCAAACAGATAATTGCATAGGCATGTTTGCATTCACTCTGGATGAAGCTGTCAAGGTTGTGACAATGCTTTGTCTTCTTCCAGCTGCAGTCTCGGCAGCGCGAGACACGAATTCAGCAGAGCTCAAAAACCTGCGGCATGGACTGAGCGCAACCTTGGGAGAAATTCAGGAGCTGCAAAAGAAACTGGATTTTTGGGAAAATGACAATTCTGCACTGATGTCAGTCTATTGTTACAAAAATCATTTGAAGCATGCATGTAGAATATTAACAGCTAACAAAAAAACATTACCAGAATTTCAAATATTGTACACTAAAGAAAGACATAGAAAGCAGCATTTTTTGTATCTGGTATACCGAATACAGCGTGAATGGTAGTTCTGCTATCGTCAAAATTTTACTGCGGCGGATAGAAATGCACGTGTTTGTTATGCTCATTTAGCGTTTGGAATTAAATGGGGAAAAACACAAGCACAACTTTTCCGAGATATAGCATGCCCTTACCAAATTCACAAAGGGACTGTTCAAATGAGTTGAAGTGCTTTTTGTTCTTATTAAACTCATAATAAGGCTGATTTCAAGTTATAAAAGTGTAAATGCCATGCTATTTTCTCAACACTAGCAAAAGATTGTGAAAGTAAAACTTTTCCTACACAGTCTAATAACTGTAAAAAATATTCCCACAATGTTTTGAGATATTAAAAAAAATGTGCTGGAGTTAAATCATTTCAATAATTTTTAAAACAATTTTCAGATGTCTACCAATGCCAAGAAAATGTCACGTACCAAAAACATTATGCTTTGTCGCACATTAACCACGTATTACATGAATAGTTCAAATTGTTATGCAGCTTTGGATATAACGTGCATATTTTTGCATTCCCTTTTCCAGGCCTGAATTGGAAAAATGGCAAGCACAAAAAGATGAAATCATATACCGACTCAATGAACAGATGTCAGAACGAGCCAACATGCAGATCACACTCAATGACACACATAAGCAAATTCAAGAGTCAAGAGAGATCATCACTCGACTGGAGGTGGCACGGGAAGACTTGCTGAAGGCCATGGCTCAAGAAAAAGCCCAGTTTGCACTGAATAAGGAGGGAATTCTTAAAGAGGTCACATTACTCTTTTGTGTTTTTTATAAAACTGTAGGGGTGACTGGCCCAGAGGTCAATGCACTGCTGATATCCCGGGTTCATATCTAGAGTTCACCAAACCATGATTAACCAGTCACAGTGGTCTCAGCTCAGGCACCAATGACTGCAAACACAAAAAAAAATATACTTTTAAAATACTTTACTCTTCAATTAACTTGCCAAAATAACAACTCTGATAATTATAAATATTGCCATGTCAAGAAAATCACTATAGTAAATGGGAAAGTGTCGGACCCTAGCGTGCATACGAGGTCACTTTGATGGATCTCTGAAGTAGGTATTTTATTTCACTTTCCACGAGTTATTCTTTATGATGGAGTGATACACTGCTCTGAGAGCTCCCATTGGACACTTCTTCATCTCGTGAAATGACTTCGGTAACACAGTACACAGTTGCAATAAAATTTGGTAAAAAGGAGAAAAGTATGCTTTTGAAAAAGTATATTCATAAATCTAACTCTGCACTCTAAGTTGGATAATAAAAAAAACATCTCCCCATTTTCACTCTGAACATTTTATAGGTGGTTGTGTACAGTAAAACCATAAGCACTGGATGCATGCACTTTTGATTCACAAAAAACATAAATTATTAATTTTATGTAAATTACATCGAATGTATCTCCGCGTGTTTGGTAGCAGATGGAGAATGAGAAGCGGCTCGTGGGAGCACAGAGGGAGATGAATGCCGAGAAAAGAAAGGATGTGGAGCAAGTGACTAAGGAGCTGAGTGACCAACAATGCAGACTTGATAACCAGTATCAGGTACACACCGATAGCAGTTTACTCCTGTGTAAATAAAAAAAACATTTGTATAGAAAGAACACTTTTTGGTTCAAAATGTATTCGAGATTATCTTGTGACGGGGGGGGGGGGGGCTTACAATGTGCATTTTCCTGTCCCATGAAAACACTGAACAAAGTTGGACATTAGCAAAAAGAGTGTTTTTATTTCTCGGACGATGAGATAAAATGCATGTGCTGTTTACCAAAATGATATTCTACCACTCATAAACCCTGACTTCGATTCCCAGCCGCGGTTAACATCAGTGATGAGCGATATCTGAACTTGTCCTGGGCCCCACCCCCCTTTCATCAACCACACTAACTAGAGTAGTGAAGTATGGTCAAATCAAATCCCATGACTGACAAAGGCATGGGGGAGACTTTCATCCAGAAATATATATTGATGGCTTAATTTTTTTGCAAACATTTAAAGAAACATCGACAATGACAGTCCATGCAGCATTTATTTATGTATACATTACAGTGAGGAAAAAAAGTATTTGATCCCCTGCTGATTTTGTACGTTTGCCCACTGACAAAGAAATTATCAGTCTATAATTTTAATGGTAGGTTTATTTGAATAGTGAGAGACAGAATAACAACAAAAATCAAGAAAAACGCATGTCAAAAATGTTATAAATTGATTGGCATTTTAATGGGGGAAATAAGTATTTGACCCCTCTGCAAAACATGACTCACAGAGGTCAGACGTTTCTTGTTGTTGGCCACCAGGTTTGCACACATCTCAGGAGGGATTTTGTCCCACTCCTCTTTGCAGATCTTCTCCAAGTCATTAAGGTTTCGAGGCTGACGTTTGGCAACTCGAACCTTCAGCTCCCTCCATAGATTTTCTATGGGATTAAGGTCTGGAGACTGGCTAGGCCACTCCAGGACCTAAATGTGCTTCTTCTTGAGCCACTCCTTTGTTGCTTTGGCCGTGTGTTTTGGGTCATTGTCATGCTGGAATACCCATCCACGACCCATTTTCAATGCCCTGGCTAAGGTAAGGAGGTTCTCACCCAAGATTTGACGGTACATGGCCCCGTCCATCGTCCCTTTGATGTGGTGAAGTTGTCCTAGCCCCTTAGCAGCAAAACACCCCCAAAGCATAATGTTTCCACCTCCATGTTTGACGGTGGGGATGGTGTTCTTGGGGTCATAGGCAGCATTCCTCCTCCTCCAAACACGGCGTGTTGAGTTGATGCCAAAGAGCTCCATTTTGGTCTCATCTGACCACAACACTTTCGCCCAGTTGTCCTCTGAATCATTCAGATGTTCATTGGCAACTTCAGACGGGCATATATATGTGCTTTCTTGAGCAGGGGGACCTTGCGGGCGCTGCAGGATTTCAGTCCTTCACGGCAGAGTGTGTTACCAATTGTTTTCTTGGTGATTATGGTCCCAGCTGCCTTGAGATCATTGAGAAGATCCTCCCGTGTAGTTCTGGGCTGATTCCTCACCGTTCTCATGATCATTGCAACTCCACGAGGTGAGATCTTGCATAGAGCCCCAGGCCGAGGGAGATTGACAGTTCTTTTGTGTTTCTTCCTTTTTGCGAATAATCGCACCAACTGTTGTTACCTTCTCACCAAGCTGCTTGGCAATGGTCTTGTAGCCCATTCCAGCCTTGTGTAGGTCTACAATCTTGTCCCTGACATTCTTGGAGAGCTCTTTGGTCTTGGCCATGGTGGAGAGTTTGGAATCGGATTGATTGATTGCTTCTGTAGACAGGTGTCTTATATATAGGTAACAAGCTGAGATTAGGAGCACTCCCTTTAAGAGTGTGTTCCTAATCTCAGCTCGTTACCTGTATAAAAGACACCTGGGAGCCAGAAATCTTTCTGATTGAGAGGGGGTCAAATACTTATTTCCCTAATTGAAATGCAAATCAATTTATAACATTTTTGACATGCGTTGTTTCTGGAATGTTTTGTTGTTATTCTGTCTCTCACTGTTCAAATAAACCTACCATTCAAATTATAGACTGATCATTTCTTTATCAGTGGGCAAACGTACAAAATCAGCAGGGGATCAAATGCTTTTTTTCTCACACTTTATATATACAGTATATATATTTTTTTTAAACCTCGACTTTGACACAGACTCGTTCTTCACACACATAACAAGAAACGTTCCCAGGGTCGTCCCGTTGGGCTTTATTTTTATCGAAGCTGTCTTTTGAAATCTGTAAGTCTTCCCATGACATTAAAAGTCACCAGATGTTGTCATTTGCTTAACAACACAGCACTCAGCCTAATGCGTGTACATGTACAATAGATCTCCCCCCAACACCACCACCACCACCTCCATCATTGCGAAATATTCGTCTTCCTAATTATACGTCCCAGTTTTTTATATATATATTAAATATATATACCTCAAAGGTGGCAACCATATCTGCAGTATTTATTGAGATCACCTCCTCGAAGGCTGCCTGGAGCCTCATTAGCGTCGTGCGCTTTGCAGCTGCTGAGTCGCGTGCAGGGCTCGCTGTCGCTGCTGGAGGCGGCGCGCGTGCGGGGAACGGCACGGCAGGAGCAGGGGGACCAGCAGGAGCAGGAGCTGCGAAAACGAAGGTGCAAGAAGCCGACTCACAGCAGAGCGGTTGCACTAAAAATAATACGTGTGTGTGTGTGTGTATGAGATTATCTGGTGCATCTTACAGGTCATCTCAGTCAGCCAAAGTATGGCACCTGCAGGGTCTGTCCCGAGACGTGTCAGCGAGCCTTCGACACTTCACGTGGCCTCAAAGTGCACCTGGCCTGGCACAGGCGCCGTGGTGACGTCACCGTCACTTAGTGGCGAATGGCGGGTATTGGTATTGATTATAATCATACTCGTAGTATATGAGAATACAGGCAGACCTCGCTTAGTGCTCAAGGTGCGTTCCTGGAGAAGTGAGCGCTAATCAAATCAGCACTAAATGGGACCATTATACCATTGTATATATGGGGATGTGTTCCCAACAGCGTTGTTTCTTTCGTGTGAGCTATATGTGAGGACTTCATTGGGGTCTCGGTAAGAGCGCCAATAATAATAAGATGTTAAACATGATTTCGTGAATAAAAAATAATTTATTATAACGTCAGTAAGTATCCACCCACGAGTGTATTCTACAGTACTTCTATAAGGCAGCGGTGGGAGACAAAGCGCGGTAACGAGAATCGCCGGGTCTACGGCGTCGCGCGAAGCGAGGTCTGCCTGTAATATTTCTGGCCGGATGATCTGCATGGATTCCCCGTGTCTGGCTGGGTGCCGCGCTCCAAAGCGCCCAAGCGTCGGGGGTGGCGATGTCACCGTGCACATCTGCGTGATGACATCACCCGCAAACCCCAAAGCGTTGAGCCGGGCTCATGCGTGCTGAAGTCACACCTCCCCCCCTCCACCCCGGGCGTGTATCCCACACAAATGTACAGGATATCATGCTATCATATAATCATACTGCCTCTGTCACACTACCATACTACATTAGAACTAAGGAGGGAGGTGAGGGAGGGAGACAGAGGATGGAGAGATGGAGAAAGGTGCAGCGAGAGAGTAAAAGGGCATGCAACGGATAGGAAAGAGAGAGAGAAAAGCGGAAAGAGGAGAGCGTGGGAACGTGATATGCAGTGGGAGAGAGGATTAGGAAAAGGCGAGAGAGATTGAGGTGGGAAAATGAGAGGTGCGAATAAGGATAATAAGGGTGAGAGGTGAGAGAGAGACACAGGGAAAGAGATAAGGGGGGGGGGGGAGGGGGTGGATAAGTGTGTGAGATGAAGTGGAGAGAGGAAAGGCGACAGCGGGATTGAGAAACAGAAAAAGCGAGACATATAAATACATTTTGATATACAGTACAGAGAAGGCAATAGAAATATGGAGAAATACAGCACTATGTATAAGAATAATACTTTTGCCGGCTGATTGATGAGTGTGCTTTAGTTATCGCTCTTTGTGCTTTCATGCCACTGCCATCACAGTATCACAAAAAATAATGTTGTTCCATTGAAAGGACTAAGACGACCGCAGTGGAGAATTGATGCAATGTTACTCGCACTTGCGCTATGAGCCCAGTGGCACCTAAGTTAGATTTCTCGCCACAGCTAATGACGCCAGTAGTGAGTAATGTCTGAATCGGTTCTGAGCATGTGCTCTACTTGGTTCTTTCGGTAAGGTCACGTAGAAGGGAAATAATAAAATGATAAAAATAAAACATAAAATAAAGTTATCACGTTTCGGCGACAACACAAGCAGCCGTCCTCAGGTGAAGAAACAGAGCTGTTGGAGCGCTGTTTCTTCACCTGAGGATGGCTGCTTGTGTTGTGGCCGAAACATCGTGATAATTTTATTTTATTGTTTTATTTTTATTATTTCATTATTTCCCTTCTACGTGACTTTACCGAAAGAACCAAGAAGATGAATCCCTGCAGTCACGAAAGCTTTAAATCGAAATCCTACTACCCAATGACAGACCTTGAGGTGGAGCAGTGGCACATTGGTTAAGGGCACTGTGCTACAAACCCCATAACTCCCTTCATCAACCCTCACTGACCAGCATGGACAAACAGTTCGCATGACTGACACGGCATGGAGAGAGGCTCCTCCAGCAGTGGATAGGCAACGGGCTATTAATTATTTAGATTGTATTAATTAGTTCCTAAAATGATCGTACAATCATTGGATATTATTGCTGCTGCTGTACAGCCACTGTGACATCACATTGGATGCCTATGATATTTTAACTTAGGTGTTCTAGACATCAATTGTGAATAATTCTTCTTCTTGTTTACCCAGAAAAGCCTCACTGAGTCATAAGACTTAGTTTCACGAGGGTCCTGCATTCAGATGTTTGGCTAATCCATGAATGCCTGTTTAGTATATGGGAGGAAACTAGAGTACACGGTGAACACCCGTGCATACAAGGCAGGAATGTTTAAAGCTCCGCATAGATAGATTTAAGAATATGTTTATCTAAATCCATTGCCCATCCATCTTGTAGTCCAAGCCGACAACAGTGACCACATGAGAGTGGTCATAAGAAAATAAATCATTCCATTAAATGACCAATTATAGCTCTGGACCTGCAAAATTATATTTCTGCCTACATATTAATGTAGTGTCTCACCAACGTATAGTCAATGGAGTAGTAACTACCCAAACCTTCCATTAAATTCACTGCTTATTGCATCAACTTTAATTGGGCAGCTGCCCATGGTGTGGCTGTATATGGCTGCCGTTTTGCAAGAGCTTGCACTCTGGCATTTAAAAGTTTCACGTGACACACACGCACATTGCATGGGTAATGGATGAACACGGTCATTTTTGATCGATTGGTTTGGATTTCAATGGCAGTCGTGTCATCAGATAAACGGTTCGCAGATGGAACTAAGCAGCTGCCTGAGAAGAACGGTTCTTTGGGTAAGCGCAGCCGACTGGTGCATAATACATCACCGCTACATTCCAATTAAGAAATTATGCATGCTGCTGTGTTGCGTAATTTTTCTACAATAAAAAAAACACTCAGACTTCCAGTCCACAGGGAAGGCCTCCTCTAATGGGAATCACACCACAAGCCAGAGTCATGTGCTGCCTCTGCAGTCTGAAGTCAACGGCATGTTTTAGGCGGTAATTTAAAATATAACCTGGGAATTGTCATTTTGGGCGCAGTCTAAATAGCTGTGCAGGAGCGGAAGATTAATCAGTAATGAGTGACAGATGAAATATGTGCTTGATACGCCCCTGTGATTGAACGTTACAGGGTTGAGCAACTGCAGGTTATGCTGGTGGAGCACAATTTTTCTTTTTCATGTCAACCAATCTTCTCCAGTTACTTGCATATGGTTTAAATAGCTTTAAATGTGCCTGTTGATAGCCTGACATGGAAATATGAACTTTGTCCAGCTCATGCGGGCTGCTCATTTCTATTTGTTTTTTACAATTTATTTAAGCAAGACCACGATTAATGCTCGCTCATGCCACTGTTGCTGGAAGGGCCTCCTCCAGAGGGAGCTCAAGAGAGCCCTTCTATAGGGTATATTCACCTACTTGTCCACGCTGACTAGATACCTTGGAAGAGGTTGGAGTACCCGTAATATATACGCCACCACGAGCAACCTAGCGATCGACTTAACCGCAGTGTTCACATTCACACTGCTGGGTGGACAGAGGTGGAGTTTAAGAAACGTGCCCATTGTTTTCAACTGCTGCACAGGCAGATTGAACCGGATCGCAAGTCCAATGTGTGAACAAACCGATCACGGCAGCATTCCTTAAGTGCCGATACGTGTTTTATTGGCCAGAGTTGTCGTGCAAATATATATCTTACTGTTTATCTTTCAGCAAACGCTTAACCGAGGGCTTGACACACGCATCTCAAACACTCGGCGAAAGAATTAGCGTCCTCCGTGAAACACAATCCAAGGTAACGTTTGCATCACGCCACCCAGACACTAAAAACCTCCACCCCACAGTGCACAGGACACGCTCGCTGAGCTCACTTCAACTGTGTTTGGGCCAAACTGTGCGTCAGATGAATAAGGCGATGGCGGACGCTGAAGAGATGAAGAAGAGTCTGCAAGCGCGGCGCTCCGACACAGAGGCAAGGCTAGCCCAGGCATGGGAGCTGGAAGCCAAAGAGCTCGCTAATAAAGAGGACGCAATTAAACAGTGAGTAGGAGGGACAATCTGGATTTGAAGCTTTCGTGACTGCAGGGAATCCATACTCTTTGGTTCTTTCGGTAAAGTCACGTAGATGGAAAGATAATCTACGTGATGACTTTACCGAAAGAACCAAAGAAGAGGAGGGACAATGACAAAGGAAATCACGAAAGGGTGCTGAGTGCATATTGAAAGCGCTCTGAGGTGCCAGGTTTTGGAGCATGACCCAGACTGGAACTGAAGTTGGAATCAATGGCCCTTATCAAAGTGATGCTTTAAGCACTACCCACTAACCCAGTGGCCCAGCAGTGCACATACAGTCGTACAATCTATCAAAGTGAGCACTTTGATAGCTGGGAGCTCCATGTCTAATTTAGCATTTTACGTAATTTTGAGCCATGTTGCTAAGTGGAGGTATACATTACAACTACATTAGCACTATTCTTTGGTTCTTTCGGTAAAGTCAGGTAGATAGAAGAAGAAAAATAATAATAAAAGAGAAAGTGAATACAATTAATAAAAAAACCAAAATAACACGAATGTAGACTGTAGCCTTGTTCTTAATTGGGAGTGTACTGGCAATCTATAATGTAGCATGGTTATTAAGTTTGGTTTGGGTGAGTCTACTGGCAGTCTATAATGTAGACTGTAACCTGGTTCTCAACCTCGGTGAGTCTACTGGCAGTCTATAATGTAGACTGTAGCCTGGTTTTTAAGCTGGTGAGCATATTGGCAGTCTGTAATGTACACTTATTCTTTGGGTCTTTCGGTAAAGTCACGTAGATAGGTTCAAAGAAAATAACAAAAAACGACGTTGTTTCGATCGCAACACAAGCGGTCGTCATCAGGAAAAGGGGGGTTATTTTCTTTTAACCTATCTACGTGACTATGAATTCCTGCAGTCACGAAAGCTTTAAGTCAATATTGAATGCAGACTTATTTTTGGTAAATAAAAATAAGCACTGTTTGATAACACTAATTGTGTTGCGCTAACTTGTAGGTTTTTGCCGTTGTGCTGCAAAGTTCTGTGATGTGTTTTCGGGTTGTACGACGAGTCTTTAGGCATGCCAGTCTATCAACAGCACATTTGTCATACAGTACAACAAGAACGCAGAGAGCTATCCCAATTTTGTTAGTGGAGCTGTGAAGGACGCATTGACGTTGGAACATTGCCTGGTTAAAAATAGCCACTTTCACAGCTTAACAATTCGATTTGACACCAATAACATTCACAGTTTCACACTCATTGGGCCATTTAGAATTAGCTTAGGCAAAGAGAGCTGTTATCCTGGCCCCTGTATGGTCACAACTGGCCCCATCGACACTGCAATCGATACTGGTTCTTTTAGGACTTCCCACTGAAGCGGTCTCAGGATGGTCGATGGAGTCTCATTTATCAGGGATCACTTCTAGGAGGAGTTAAGGTCAGCAATGTTCACACTGCCAAGATCCATTTCTTTGAGCTGTCATGAATTGATTGCAACTGAATTCACCGAGTGCAACAATACTTTGTGTTAACGCTACTTTTTAAAATATATGACAGTTCCATTTACACAGGTGTGAAATAATCATTGGTTTATTGTAACATTCCTTTTAACATAGAGACATAATTCAGACTATAAATTTGCATCATTTTCTGATTACATAGTAGACAAAAGTACGCGCAAAAAAATAAGCAAAACTATCGTGCATGCTCATTAACATCAATAACACTGATGCATCTCATTAAAGCAACCATTACGCGCCGCATATTTGCATTTAGATTGCCACGACATTCGCCCAACATGAATAACAAATATTCTAATAATGCAACTTGAGACAATTATTAATCAACGTATATTTACATTCGAGAGCCTCAACATTGTGCAAACACCTCGCGGCGTAAACCTGTGATCGAGATGGCTGCAGGTTATGCTAGGTGCCCATGAGGACCACGATCCTGTGATGTAAGCGGAGGTGCAGTGCGTGATTCACCACGTTCGACTCGATTTCTAACGCACACACACGCTCCCCCATGATACCTCAATCCTACCGACTTTCCACATCAGCCGCGCTCCCATTCCTAATGTAAATCACATCACGTGTGCACATTACGTTTATCTGTTCATTTGTCGACACGGGACGGCTGTCTGTGTTTGGCCTCCAAAGACTCAGAAAAAAAAGTTTCCAGGAAAATACTTACAAATCTAACATGTAATGATGGCCAAATATTTTGTAACATCTAGGGGCATTTTCAAAAATTATTATGTGTTACTCCACCGCCTCCACCCCTCCTTTTCATTCTGGTGCTTACGCGTTTGTCAGGTTTCAGGCGTCGAGATCTTTTATAGATGAGAAGACAGAAATGATAGCACGACTCCAACGAGAGACGGTGGATCTGGAGGAATCCATGCGAGAGACGCAAGAGCAAAGCAAGTGAGGCTGCCACGCGCGGCGCCACTGCTGCATCATCTGACCCTTGCATTCACACGACCCTGACCTTGCTAACGGTCTGCAGAAAGAGAAAGCCGAATGAACGATGCCGAAACTTGGCTTTCCCGTCAATTGTTCGTGTTTGATATGTGTAAAGCGATGCTGTCTGAGCCTCTCATTACAAGATTTAAATAAAGATTATATAAATAAAGATTATCAGACACAGCACTGCGTATATTTAAATTATCATTTACCAGAAATCATTCGGTAGCACCAGTCCTAGGCCTTAACTTTACCAAACCTCACTGACCAGTGTGGTGAAGTATGGACAAACAACCCCCATGACCAACATGGCACGGTGAGGCCTTCATCCAGCAGTGGGTTGACAAAGGGCTGTGGTCTGAAATTTCAAAAATGTTATTGTGTATGTTCACCACTGCTGCAGGATTTGGCCAAAGGTAAACAATGTTGGAGAGGTATGGTGGTATCAACGGCTTTGGCCATGGTGACATTTTTATCTTGAATTCCATATTTAAAGTGTCAGTAACACCGCTATGCTGAACTGTTTATATTCTGTGATGTAAAAGGGGCTACGTCAGATAACAAAAGGGGCACTATGCTCGTATGGAAGTGGCAGTCATGACATTGTTGCACAGAGGTAATGTTTGACTTATTATAAAGCCCATCTCTATGTACTAATTAAGTCATTTCTGTGTGAGATGACAGCAGTGAAACATGAATTAATAAGTGTGAGTCTGTTCGTGCTATGGATATACCATGTTCTAGCCCTTTTTAGCATGCCCCACATTCTTTTTTTTTTCTAATTATGACTTATTTTATTCACATTTTCACATCTCCCATTTGAATGGCAGGGCAGTAATCAATTCCTACAACCAGCAGCTTGAAGAGCACAAGGAATGGCTGGCAAAGGCACGGCAGGAAAGGTGAGATTTCTTGGCTTTGGTTAAGAAGAGGATACATTTATTTCACATGAGATGGGAACCGGTGAGCCACACATCTCTCGGAAGTTCACGAGCTTTTTCCAACTCACGAATTAAAAATGCAAAACTGTATTCGCAGCTTCTGACCGCTGAAATAGTTGAATGCATACATCCATTTTGTCTCGTGAGCGTTTTCTGCTTAACAATGCAATCCTCTACAGGATTCCTCCTGCTTCTCATAACGCTGTTTGTATCTTTTGTGAGGATGGCGGTAATCTCCGAGAAGGAAAGTATCCAGATGGAGATCAGGGAAACGAGAGCAGAAGCAAACAAGTTCATTCTGCAGCTGAACGGCCAGCTTGAGAAGGATGCGCAGAAGCAGAGAGAACTCACAGATGAGGTTGGCACATTTCCTGCACGCTTAATTACAATGCACATGCCAAAATGAATGTTCCATTTTTTCATTGATGTGTAGTGACATTGCGGATGTCACCGTGTGGTGCCGGCCCTAGAGAGGCACGGCATGCGATGTACCCACATCGCGGACTTCACGTGTGTAGCGACATCGTGAATGTCACTGAGTAATGCTGGCTCTAGCGAGACACGGCGTGCGATGCATTGTCATAGCGGACACCCCGTAGGTGGGTGCAGTACCAGCCCTAGAGAGGGGCTCGGTGAGCGCTGGGATAGCGCTCAGTGGCACCACGCGTGGCGCGCAGTGCTGACTCCGACAGGAGGGAGTGTGGGAGTGTCAGTCATGGGATGAGGTCACCCTAGGCCACGGCACTCTGGTTGACCCTGGAAGGCACGTGACAAGTAAGATCTACACAGGAGCCCCAGATGGGGGCTAGGGGGTGGTCACGTGTCAGGGTGAGATCCTACGGAAAGGGTCGAGAAACGACAAAGAGGTTTCTCGAAGGTGGTCGTGGCCAAGGACGGGGCCAGCCACGACCCGGGAGCAGGTAAACGGGGTCCCCACAGAGACCGGGGCTCAGCGTTGCTGTTGTCATCTCAAGATCTACGATCTACGTTTTACGTCCAAGAAGAAGTCACGAACACGTGGACGAGGACCCAAGCCAGGGTCCTGTCCGTTGTAGCTACTCTCAGTAACTAGCGTAGTTAGCCTGGTCCACCACCATAGGTTATCTGGAAAAGGGGCAGTAACCCCTTTGTGTTAATGTGTTGGTGTTAATAAATATGTGTTGCCTCCAAAGAGTACGTCTGCGACTCGGTTAAATCCACTCCAGATGTATGTTAAAATTATATTTTTTGTTTAAGGTGGTGCAATCATGCACATAGCTCCTGTTTTAGCTACAGTAGTTTATCTATCTTCAGTTGTGTTAAAAGAAAACATTTTCAGAAATAACTAGCTTGTAAAAGGACTTTTAAATAACATAGAATGTTACATTTTGGCGATAATGTGTTGGCAGTGGTACATAAGCCAAAAAATAACAAACACGCTAGGCATTCGTCAATTGAAAAATGTACGTAACTGATGTGTCAGGCAATTGCCCTGCTTCATAGCACACGAATGAAAATGGTGTATGTGGGCTACTTAAAAAAAAAATGGACATTCACTGTATTATCATAAAATATACAATCTAAGCAAAAAGCAATAAACACATCTGAAATGATCTCAGAGCTGAAAAAGTATCACCTGTCCTGGATTATAGAAATGGTACAAATTACAACCTATCCAGAATTCCACACGATTCAATTTCATTTGGAAAAGCTTACAAAATCTTGCAAATGTCATTGAAAAGGTGAACTGAAAACGCATCTTTTTTTCCAATGTGTAGTCCAGGCAGCTGCAAACGGAGATAGCGGAGAAAATCCAGATGATCCCCGGTCTGCAGCAGCACCTGACAGAGGAAAAGAAGAAGTGCCGTCAACTGGAATGCGAGCTGACGGCCTGCGTCAAACGCATAGAGGTTTGTGCTCTTAATCTCCAGCACCGACCCCCACACTTACAGGAGTATCTGTATTCTGCCAACAGAAAATGGAAGTAGCGTCCTCATAGGTTGTGTGCGTTTGTGTATGTGCACAGGGGTTTTATTCACGCCTGCATGCATGTTCATTCATTGCAAGTGATACACTAAATATATTATCCTGGGATTTTTTTTCTTCACAATATACCGCTTTAAAGAATACTGAAAATGAAAATTGCATAGAGTTTAATATCTACACGATTAATCAAACATTTCATTGTATGTATTCGAGCCCATTTTTCCCAAAGTTACCTGAAAATAATGTTCATTATCTGTGGTCATGTAAATACTGATTGGCAGATCTCACTGGCATGAAGACATGATGATATCTCAGCATCTTCCCAACAGTTTACCCTCAAACAATTAAGCAATAACGCTTGAAGTTGTATCAATTGCGTTCAGGAGGAGTTGGTGCGAGTGACAGAAGTATGTGAGCAGAAGGAGCAAGAGATGCAGCAGACAGCCCCAGTTCTGCAACAGCTGCAAGCCGAGCTGCAGGAGGCACAGAAGCTGTACAACGAGAGGAAGCACGAGATTGCAGGTGGTGCTTGGGGCATCACCAAGGCCTGGGAGGGGTGCCCAGTCTGTGAATGTTAAGACTAAATTCGCCCTTTATATATATCCAGAAAGCTTTCGCGTGGGACGAAATTTGAATAGCCGGAGAAGACCCGCACTGAGGGTGCATCACTCAAAAGCTCCCCTGTGAGGAATTTAATAATCGATTGCAGTACTTCCATCTCTTTACGTTGCAGCCAAAGCCTACAGCACCTGCTGTTTGTTTCCAGACTGCAGCCTCAATAACATTCAGAGGGACTGAGCCCCCTGTTAATTATTAAGTCAAACATTTTTGGAACATTCACATCGGGAATGAGAGCTAGAGCAGAATACATGATAGACAAGAGCAGATCTTACCATTACTTGTTCTGTTTGGCATTTAACATTTTCAGCGAAGTTCTTATTTAAGATGGTTAACCAAATACATTGAGTTTTTTAATGACTTGTTCTATTTGGCGTCTAATATCTGTTTAAAGTTTAACATTGAATGTTAAGCGCCCCCTTCCTTTTAAATAAGGTCAGCGTTCATGATTGCCAGACAATCCGCTAAGTACTACCCAGACTGGTTAGTCGTTGGCTTCTGAAGTAAGGATCATTGAGCGTGATATGGCCTAAATAACCACTCACTTTTTCACCAGCCTGAAATTGAGGCTTTCATAACAAAAACGCGTGGCGATAGCAAGAATTAATACCCCACCCTCTAGAAGTAAATTTATAGGGATAAGAACGTTATGGGGTTATGGGGTTTACATGCCCTTGTGCCCTCACTTGTACTTACATGCTGGTAAGGGGAGCTATGAGAGTATATCATCTTACCTGACCATGTAGACGCATTTCTTAATTGCTGCGACATTGATCAAAATTACATTAAATATTATAAATGCTCCTGTACATCCGTACATCACTCAGAGAAGCCCTGATGAAGCCCTGAGAGGCGGTATCATTCACCATTGCTGAGTACTGCCACAAGGCAATTAGTTCCAATGCATATCGGTAGGCACTTACGTATTAAAACATATATTTTACACCCCGGGTGGGCTTTACTCATATTTTCAAGGATTAGGGCCGAGATGTTCGAGTCAAATAAAACAATCATTGCACCTGCTGTGACCATGGGAAACCACGTGAATGTGGCCTCTGCCGCTGCGCTAACACCCCCCCATGCCCGTGCTCCTTCAAACTCTCTCAACATCGCAAGAAATTGTGGGAAAAAAACTCTGCACTTTGGATGAAAAAAAAGTCGATTTTCATGATGTGATAAGTGAAGAAATCAATGTGAAGAAAAACTGGCCCTCTGTAGGTTACTCAACAATAGATGCACAATCTGAACTCGCCTACAGCTGCCTTAAAAACCCCCGCACACTATTGGACTTTGATCCACGAGAATGCAGATTTACACCGACTGGGGGTGAATCCACAGACTGCAGTAATTTACTGTGCACGTATTTAATGGACAACTCTTCTAAATTGCAGCCATTAAGAGTAAAAGGAGACAGATGGAAGAAATGTCACGTCAGATGCAACAGGAAATCGAAAACTTCAGCACATCAAAGGTAGTACTTAATTATCCACGCCTAATGTAACTGTACCACATTAAGATGTTTAGTGGGGTAGGTTGCTTTATTCCAATGCTGTACATTTCACAGTTGTTCATTTACACAATTAAATGTTATATAGACATTCCATTTAGCCTTAAGACTGTTAGCAGGTGCTCTGAACGACCACTTATTTAGACCACCAATGCTTACAGAGCTGCCGTGGCCAGTACCATATCTAACTTTGCCTTTCTAAGCAGTATTGATGGTGACTACACCACAGCACCAATTAATTATTTTAGCCACGCTAAAGCAGAAAAAGTTTGTTCTTGGATAATTGTCATTGTTACCGTGCAATCAGTCATCAGACCCATGACACTGGAATCGTAGTGTCTGTTACGCTGACCGCTATTCCATATGCACACACGCACACATTTGTTACAGGGACAGTTGCAATCAGAGTTGCAAGAGGCCAGAAGTGAGTTTCTGCAGCAACTCAAAGACCAAGGAGATGAGCTGCAGGCGCTGGAGAGAAACATTTATGAGACATGTGGGAAACGGGAACAAGTTACGATGGAAAACTGCCGATTTAAGCTGGTCAGAATTAACCATCTTCTCCCACAACATGAACGTTGCGTGCGATTATTAAAAGCATTTAGTTGTTTGTTTTGTGACTGAATGCCATCAAGCTGACCTTTAACCTCATTCTAAATCACTTTCAGTGTAATGTCAAGTTTTCAGAAGACATTTCCAAACTTGAAACCGATGCTGAAAATCACAAGCAAGCCATGAAAGACCTTGAGAAAAATCGTGACACTTTGGAAGGTTGGTGTTTATTTTAATGTTGAAAGAAGTAAACATCTGATTGATATTTGAATCTTAATATATGGAGCAATGTATTTCGACTTCGTTCACACCGTATGTAACCAATCTTGATACTCGTAATTGCAGGGAATCTTCCTTAACAGCTACACAAACCTAGCCTTTAAACTTGTTTACCATACATTTTTTCCCTTTTTTAGCAAACCTCCAAGAAGGCTGGGTGAGATGTGCCAAGTCTCAGAAGGTAGGATTAATACCGCTTGTGTTCATGCCATTACCGTGCCTAACGATGGCTGTAATAATAATCTGGGGATAGCTAACCACGCTTATTTTAAAGATCGATTTTTCAAACCCAATGGGAGGGAATTTTTCTTTGGATAATCGAGTTTGAATAATGAAAAGAAATGCAATATTTGATCATCCAAACATATCGTAATGATTTAGGAGAAATAAAAAAAACACTAACGTGAAATGTCTGCAAAAGAAACTGTCAAAAACAGTCCAGCAGTGTGGGTCCCAATGCTTGAACGTCTCTCTAAGGAATACGAAGAGGGAGACGAGTGCATTGTGGAGAGTCTGCTGGAGCTCATGAAGAGAACCGAGCGACGACAGATTCACGTTGGGAAAGTGACCTGGGGACTCGAAGACCAAATGAGTCTCTTTGGTAAAATTCTGGACCGAACTACAAAATCCTGCCCGCTGGGATAGTTTTACTCGTGTGCACTTATCGCCCTGTACCCTCCGAAAGCAACTTTAAATTTCCTAGAAAAACAAATTCACTTTTTTTAAAATAATTGCATGACTTCGATTTGTTGCATGCATCCATGCAGATTCTCGTTTAAAATGCCTAATTTTGCAATTTGCACTAGGAATACCTGACCAACTCTGCTTGATGGAAGTGAGGATCAAAATAGATACCCTTTCTCAAATGTGTATGCAGATGCCAAGATGTCCAAAGAATATTTATGGCAGCTTCACATTTGAAGTCTTCAAAACATAAAAATAATCTTAAATTAATACCCAGATGTTTGCTTTCTAATAATGTAACTTGGACAGTCTCCTTCTGCTTTAATGGATATCAATGGTTTTTACATGTGTGATGTTGTAATCTGTATGTTCATATAAACACTTCCTCTTTTAAGTAAAATAGTAGAAATTTTGAACAGCTGTAACACGTTAATTACTTTAACGGATCACCTTGCTTTCACATATCCCCTGCACAAGTTGCCATAAACATGAGATGGTAAAGGCTTGTTCTTGTTCATTTTATTTTACATCATGACATGTTGTACACCTCTACAATATTACAAGCAACAATAAATATAATTACACCAAAAAAGCATACATAACTTATTCTATTGAGTTCAGGTTTTGCAAGCAAATAATATTTCAACATTAATTAAAGAAATTATAGCATCTCCATTTTAACATAAATCACACAGTCTCTCTTTATGAAGGATGTACAAAGGGGTTTAAACACAGTTTTTTGTCAGACTAAGCTGCTCACCTTGGTCATTCTGAGAAATGCTCATGCAGGACACAAGAAGAATCCAATGCAGGCTGAGCCTGGTATACCAAAAATCTTATCACCTTTCGGTCTAGTCATTTAAACTAATTTAAACACTCAGATTTGCCAAATGTGCTGGCCCAGATTTTTCAAAATCCACGTTCATTGTGCTGTCCAATGCATAACCATTCCCCCTTCTGTTAACACTGAATCTCCTAGCTGCCTCTGACAACCAAGGCCAGCATGCAATATGGCTAATAAAGATAGTGTTCAAGCTATTCGCTGTTCCACTACCTACCTATCTTGCTACCTGGTGTGATAACTGCATGGCAAAACATATACTAGCAGTGATATTTTCTCTCACCATTACAATTCTCAGTAAAATAGATGAAGAAAACAATTTAACTTCCAAAAATGTAAAAAAAACGTATGCGTGCTGTCACCAACACAATATTTTGTACAACCTCTCGTGTAAGATTGTCGACATCTGCACATGCATTACCAGAGTGCATGTACAACCTCAACCCGCATTGAGCTCCGAGTGGATCCGCTCTGGGTCAGTGAACTTAGCGGTGAGCAGGTAAAAGAGAGCTGGTCCTGGCACAAGAGCCAGCATGGGTAGGTCACTCTTCAGGCTTTCCAGGCGGGTGATCGAGATGATGCCATAAGTGTGCACCACCCAGTGGCTCAGCAACACTATCAGGTTTCGCTTGTTGGAGAACAACGTTTGAATGTTCTATGAAAGGGATGGGAGGTAAAAAAAAAACACTTTTTTATAACATTGCCAAGTTGTGACCTAATCTGTGTGCAAATACTTGATCGTATATCATAACTGTTGACTGTATAATAAGTCCCGCAGCTGCTGCTATATGTTAACACAAAATATTGGGAGGCTCCCATGTTAAATTACTGCAAGATGGTGTACTTGATTACATAAGCACAGCTTATTCGCACAGGCACACAGAGTGCCCTCTGCTGGACTGTTTTTTCAAAATTTCTCCATTTTCAGACTAATTAAATTCCAATGAACACAGTAAAATTTTACCATAAAATAAACTACCAAATAAAAGTAACGCATTTAATTGCACTACACAATTTTGCATATTTACTGCTCTTCCACTAATTGAGGTGATAAAATAAAAATAAACTTACCACGATTTTCATTAATGCAAAGTATACAGCACAGGTCACAATTGAAAACACCAGTAGAATGAATGGGAAGGCAAAATCTGTAATTGAAAACAAAACATTACATTGTTATTTTAAAATCATATATTTATCATGTGACCATGCTTCATTTGAACTTGTAAATAACATCACAAAACCATGATAATAAAATATTAAATACATTCACCATTAACACCCACAACGGAAAACTATGTAATAGATTAAAGCCCCAAACGTCAAGAAGTTTAAAAGGGCCACTACCTGAAATGTTAGCGCATAATATACTATATATTAACCTATAATATGTGTCTGCAGCAGTGTTAACACAAATATGGTGCATATTTTGTATTTGTGCTTGGGTACTATTGCTAATTTTATTCATAATAATTGAAGAAGAATATTCAATCTGGACAAACTATAACACTTTCAATGTAATGTGAGAACAAGTGAAGCTCAGTAAAGTAAAGGCGTTTAAGTGCTCTGTACAAAGGGGACAGGACTGAGCCCTCACAGAGCAAGCCGGCAGACACAGCCTGCACGAGAGTGAGGATGGGGAGGAAGTAGAGCGCGGCATAGATGCTTTGGAAGCGATCCGCCTTGCCCAGGCTGCCGGCAAGGCGCTTCACCAGGAACGGCCTCACCACCATCATGAGCACCAGGCAGAATGCGTAGTAGATGAACACGATTGTGTACCTGTGCGCACAGCAGAGACAGTTATTGACAGGCCCTGCAAACAACTCACAAAATTAAACATAATTAATAACTAAGTAGATGAGATAAATGCATCCCATGATAATCATTTTTATTTCTTTATTTTTAAACATCACAGCCTGGTTTACATGCAGGCTATTCTGTTGACAAAGCATGCAAACCTATCCAGAGCAATGCACACATATCAAAAAGAACAAATGCTAGCACACAATCTAGTTTAACGCTGACGTTTCATGTTCTGATAATGGTATCCGTAAGCCCATGGCAAAATGCAACCTTTTGAAATGAAAATGTCTTTCGTATACCAGAATAACCGATTACATCAACAAAAGGAAAATTTTATCCCTGGCTGCGCACATTTTTGAAGCAGCATAACAGCACGACTCTCGTGCAGTCATCCCGGAGGAGGATAATTGTGCGCAGCGGTGTCATCTGGTGATGAGACCGTTTACTCACAGGGGAAACACTGCCTCCTGCGTGCAGTGGATGGTGTGGATGTAGTCGGGGCTGGGGTTGAACAGCATGGTGTACCAGTCGGAGAGCATGTGCGAGCGGCATGAGCGCACGTGAAAAGAGCCCAACGGGTCACTGAGCAGCAGCGTCACCACGGCAGCCGCGCTGCACTCCAACACTGCGGAAAAGTGCAGCAGCAGCGCACTGCAAGCAGCGAGGGTCACTTGCTGACAAATGGGCACCACTGGGAAGATAATGGGTGTTCTCTTCACTGCAGAGACAGTGTTTGGAACGGCATGAACAGTTCAGGATAATTTTAGCCAAAAAAATTATTTTATTAGTTTTTAATAGGAATAGAACTTCAGCTTTCTGATAAAGGGACTTACATGAAAATCGTTTATTGGATCAAAGAGTTAAAATTTTGGAATTTAAAGAATTCCAACTTCATTTTATTATCACTTTCAAAAGTTAAAAGGAAAACAAGGAGAGAATATAATACAAGCCTTTTGTTACTTAACTGTTATTCCATGAATATGCAGCCATAACTGTTGGACATTAACATATAGCTGGGCATGCATGTATAATTGTATCTATTTAATCATAACTTCGGTACATATAAATGCTAATCTTGCAAACATAACAAAACATAAAAAAACGTTTACAAACAATAAAAGAGGGCTCATCATAAAGCTCACATACATTTATAAGCAGCAAATAATGAATAATCACGTGTGACACATTCGACAACATATGAGCCAGCTTGGGATTTGGACACTCATGATCTTATGATAAAAAACATCAGCAGCTGCTTTGTGACAGCAACCATATGGGCATCGTGCACACCTCTTCCTCCGCGAGTACCACTCGATGAAGAACCAGTGCAGGATGAGGGGAAGCATGGCCATGAAGCCGAGGTAGAGCCAGTCATAAAGGTTTGGAGATTCCTCGCAGCGTTGACAGAACTTGTCCTTGTCCGGCCTCTCGCCCCGAGGGCACGCCTAGATCAAAACAGCCGTGCAGTCACTCTCATGAAGTGCAAATCAAAACACCACAATTAAAAATGTACAGTGAGGGAAAAAAGTATTTGATCCCCTGCTGATTTTGTACGTTTGCCCACTGACAAAGAAATGATCAGTCTATAATTTTAATGGTAGGTTTATTTGAACAGTGAGAGACAGAAAAACAACAAAAAAATCCAGAAAAACGCATGTCAAAAATGTTATAAATTTATTTGCATCTTAATGAGGGAAATAAACATTTGACCCCCTCTCAATCAGAAAGATTTCTGGCTCCCAGGTGTCTTTTATATAGGTAACGAGCTGAGATTAGGAGCACACTCTTAAAGGGAGTGCTCCTAATCTCAGCTTGTTACCTGTATAAAAGACACCTGTCCACAGAAGCAATCAATCAATCAGATTCCAAACTTTCCACCATGGCCAAGACCAAAGAGCTCTCCAAGGATGTCAGGGACAAGATTGTAGACCTACACAAGGCTGGAATGGGCTACAAGACCATTGCCAAGCAGTTTAGTTAGAAGGTGACAACAGTTGGTGCGATTATTCGCAAATGGAAGAAACACAAAAGAACTGTCAATCTCCCTCGGCCTGGGGCTCCATGCAAGATCTCACCTCGTGGAGTTGCAATGATCATGAGAACGGTGAGGAATCAGCCCAGAACTACAGGGGAGGATCTTGTCAATGATCTCAAGGCAGCTTGGACCATAATCACCAAGAAAACAATTGGTAACACACTACGCCATGAAGGACTGAAATCCTGCTGCGCCCGCAAGGTCCCCCTGCTCAAGAAAGCACATATACATGCCCGTCTGAAGTTTGCCAATGAACATCTGAATGATTCAGAGGACAACTGGGTGAAAGTGTTGTGGTCAGATGAGACCAAAATGGAGCTCTTTGGCATCAACTCAACTCGCCGTGTTTGGAGGAGGAGGAATGCTGCCTATGACCCCAAGAACACCATCCCCACCGTCAAACATGGAGGTGGAAACATTATGCTTTGGGGGTGTTTTTCTGCTAAGGGGACAAGACAACTTCACCGCATCAAAGGGACGATGGACAGGGCCATGTACCGTCAAATCTTGGGTGAGAACCTCCTTCCCTCAGCCAGGGCATTGAAAATGGGTCGTGGGTGGGTATTCCAGCATGACAATGACCCAAAACACACGGCCAAGGTAACAAAAGAGTGGCTCAAGAAGAAGCACATTAAGGTCCTGGAGTGGCCTAGCCAGTCTCCAGACCTTAATCCCATAGAAAATCTGTGGAGGGAGCTGAAGGTTCGAGTTGCCAAACGTCAGCCTCGAAACCTAAATGACTTGGAGAAGATCTGCAAAGAGGAGTGGGACAAAATCCCTCCTTAGATGTGTGCAAACCTCGTGGCCAACTACAAGAAACGTCTGACCTCTGTGATTGACAACAAGGGTTTTGCCACCAAGTACTAAGTCATGTTTTGCAGAGGGGTCAAATACTTATTTCCCTCATTAAACGCAAATCAATTTATAACATTTTGACATGCGTTTTTCTGGATTTTGTTGTTGATATTCTGTCTCTCACTGTTCAAATAAAACTACCATTAAAATTATAAACTGATCATTTCTTTGTCAGTGGGCAAACGTACAAAATCAACAGGGGATCAAATACTTTTTTCCCTCACTGTATCATAAAATGCAATTATTAATTGTGTGCCAAAAGTATACAGCAATTCCTCGCCAACCACATGGATTAGGTTTCTGGAAAAGGCCGTGGTAGACAAATACGCGGTTGGTAAAGTACAGGGCCGATGGGAAATAAGGGCCACAGACTTGTCATAGCTTAACTTGCTTGTTAATTAACTAAACACCGAATAAAATACAGTACATTACACAATAACATAATAAAACATAAATAA